AGATAGATAGATAGATAGATAGATAGATAGATAGATAGATAGATAGATGATAGATAGATGGATAGATAGATAGATACTTAGTTAGTTAGTTAGTTAGTCCAGGTCCAGCCCCACCTAGATTGAGTGTATGGTGTGTTGCTTTTAAATCTGTTTTTCTCTTTCCCTGTTTTTTAACTTTTTATCTTTTTACTCTTGTACTTGTAAGCCACCCGGAGTCCTATGGGATTGGGCGGCATATAAATTTATTAAATTACAATTACAATTAGATAATAGATAGATATAGATAATAGAGAGGTAGATCGATGATTAGATAGATAGATAGATAGATAGATAGATAGATAGATAGATAGATAGATAGATAGATAGATAGATATGATGGATGGATTGATATGTTCTCTCCTCTCCCCAAACATACTTCTAATAGTTGTCTCTTTTAGGCCCCTTTCACAACCCGCACCGTTTGGTCTTCACCACGCGCCGAGCAGTGACGCGGACCCCAGCTCCGGCGACAGCATCAGCCTGGCCAGATCCATCAGCAAAGACAGCCTGGCCTCCAACATCGTCAACATCACCCCGAAGCAGCAGCTCCCCTCCGCCCCCGTGAAAAGCAGCGGGAAAAGCTTGCTAAACAACGTGGAGATAGAAGACGAGGAGGAGGAACTGATCGCCATCATTCGCCCCGGCCCCACCCCGAACCATGGCGGCCTGGAACTTCAGTGCGCCCCGCCGGCTCGTTCGCCGGGCTTTGTCGGCACCGCCTGGACGCCGAAATCCCCGAGCGAGGCAACGGAAAGTAAGCAGGAGAGCTTTTTCCTGGAACCGCTAATGCCTGCTGTTTTACGGCCAGCCAAGGAGAAGCAAGTCACCAATAAAGAGGACGAATGCGGAGAAGGGAAAGCCAGAGGTTACGTGCCCAAGAGAGTGAGCGAAGGGCATGCGGCTTTGGCCCGTAAGAAAGCCAACGGCGATCACAGCCTTAATAGGACTTTTAACCTGGGCTCTAGTTCTGAACTAACCGTGATTGCGAGTCCCAGTTTAGCGGAGCCACTTGTGCATCACTCAGACGTCAGGATGGAGTCCTTTTGCCCCCAAGCAAGCAGCAGTTTGGAGGTCTCCTCTCAAGAGCGGGCATCTGCAGGGTTCTTCCTGCATGCCGCCAAAGCGGAGGAGGCTGCCTCTAGCGGCCACGTCACTAACCTCAGTTACCTGAAAAGCCCCAGTTCCCACCGGGCGGAGACCTCGTGGACCATGGTCAGACAGGATTCCGACTCCTCCATCCTAGACATGGAGGAAGCCGAGCAAGACGTGGCCGCCGAGGAGCACCCTCTTATCGCCAAGTACATCGGCGAGGAAGAATCTGCCAAGCTTCAGGAAGACATGAAGGTCAAGGAGCACGAGGACAAAGACGACGCCAGCGGGCGCTCCAGCCCATGCCTGAGCACCATTTCCCAGGTGAGCAGTGTCTCCATGACCAGCGGGAGTGCCCGGATGACCAGCTTCGCGGAGAGGAAGCTCCAAAGGCTGAACAGTTACGAGACGAAATCCAGCACCAGCAGCTCGCAGAAAACCACCCCGGATGGATCCGAGTGTTGTCTGGCTCCGCTCACCACCTGGAAACAGAGACGGGAGCAGAGCCCACCCAGGCAGAGCAAAGACAACGCTAACCTCTTGGCATCCGAGCTGGTCCAGCTCCACATGCAGCTGGAGGAGAAGCGGAGAGCCATCGAGGCTCAGAAGAAGAAAGTGGAGGCTCTTTCCGCCAGGCAGAGGCTAAAGCTCGGCAAGGCAGCCTTCTTGCACGTGGTGAAGAAAGGGAAAGGGCCGGAGATCTCGCCATCCCCGAAGCCGGAACATTTCGCCAAAGAGTTCTCCGGCCACAACGGGGAAGGCCTGGAGGAGGACACGTTGAGCGCCAAAACGGAGGCGTTCCTCACGAAAGAGGAGGTGGCGGTGGTGGGCGACGACGAGATTCCCAGAGGGAAGGTCCAGGAGACGGTCGGCTTCGTGGAGGAAAGCATCTCCAGAGAGCCCACCCTCCACGAAATCGAGAAAAGCAAGAGGGTCTCGGTGGCCCTGCTGGAAGAGAACATAGACTCCGCCGATCTCAACGAGTGCGACCTTTCCATTGAAAAGCTGAACGAGACCATCAGCACCCTGCAGCAGGCCATCCTGAAGATCTCCCAGCAGCAGGAGCTCCTCATGAAGGCCCCCACCCTGTCCTCAACCCGAGGAGGCTCTCAGGACCAAAAAATAAAGGCCCCTGTCCATTTTGTGGAGCCCCTCTCCCCGCCTGGCACCAATAACCTCCGCAAGCCGCCCCGGCTGGGTCAAGGGCGGAGTGCCCGTTCGGGAAGGCCCTCCGAACTCAAAGTGGCCAAGGACCGTCCCCATACCACGCCTCGCATCAAGACCCCGACGCCCAGCGTCGACACCTTGCCCCACTTGAGACAGTTCCCGTCCAACCATTCCCCCAAGACGCCGGTCGAAACCGCTCTTGAAAATAACCTGGGCCCAGGTAGCGCCCCGCAGGAGAAGCTCCCCTTTGAGAGTTACCGGCTCTGCGACGATAATCAGAGAGGAGCGTTCGTTTTTTCCTCGTCCAGGGACACGAACGTCCTCTCGGAGGCCCTCAAGGATGAGAACAGCAATGTAGAGGACTTTCACCCCCTTGCTCGTTTCGACGCGTCGGGCAAAGAGAATATCTCAGTGGAAGAGCCATCCAAGGGCAAAGGCAGCCTTATCGAAGTGGACCTCTCGGATCTAAAAATCCACGACGAAGAAGTGGAAATCCAGGGCAACGCTTCCGATTTAATCAACGAAATGGACTCAAAGTCGGGCTTTGGGTTCTTCTTCAAGGTAAGATCTAAAAACCCATTTGGGGTCATTCTGGATCCCAGACCTGCCTCTTATATTTGGAGACAAGGAGCGTGCAAGGAGCAGATTATTGCTTTTTATATATAACTGCATCGTTGTTTCATTGGCACGTTTGGGTTTTTTTGGGGAGGGAAATGTTTTGGGAGCGAAGTGGCAACCTGTGTGTTTTGGGAAATGGTTTCGGAGTTAAGTTGTTGCTTTCTGTCCACCCACGTTTGACAACAATAATCGCACAGGGGTGTCAGTGGCCAGTTTTGCTTGAAATGTATCTATGTAATGTTGCAGTCAAAAGTGTTTTCATTTGTAGTTGTTAGTTGCAAAGTCATATCTAACCCATCGCGATCCCATGGACAGCGTTCCTCCAGGCCTCTACGATCCTCTGGAGTCCCTTTAATTTCACGTCGACTGCTTCGGTGACTCCATCCAGCCACCTCCTTCCCTGCCGTCCCTTTCTTATTTTGCCCTCCATTGTTCCCAGCATGAGGCTCTTCTCCAGGGAATCCTTCTTCCTTCTCATTAGGTGGCCAAAGGATTTGAGTTTCCTGTTCAGGATCTGGCCTTCTAAAGAGCAGTCAGGGTTGATCCCCTCTAGGACTGACTGGTTGGATGGCCTTGCAGTCCAAGGGACTCAATGCAGGAGTCTTCTC